ACCCTAAACCCTAATCCTAATAATCACGAATTGGGCCTCAAATAAATGAATGTTCAGCCCAAAATAAAAAAAAAAAATGAAAATCACTGAAAGTAACCTAAAGTAACATGAAATATTAGTTTATTACAAATTGCGACAGAATTGTGGGATTTTGACGCAAACTGTGTAATTTAGCATAAATGACCTCAATTAAGCTTCTCTTGAATCTAAATAATGTTTACCATGCCCTAATAATCATCCAAGCTTCGATTTACTTGTTGCATGTTGTTATCAACCCAGATCTGCTCAATAAGGTCATTTAAAACTTTTCGCATCATCCTAGCTCTAGCTCTCATGACTGGACCTCCTAGAATGTCTAATGGATCTCTTGACGTGGTACATGTGGGGTCATCTTGATTCCCATCATTATGCAAACTGTGTAATTTAGCATAAATGACCTCAATTAAGCTTCTCATGAATTTGAATGATGTTTACCATGCCCTGATAATCATTCAAGCTTCGATTTACTTGTTGCATGTTGTTATCAACCCATATCTGCTCAACAAGGCCATTTGAAGCTTCTCGCATCTTCCTAGCTTTAGCTCTTGTGACTGGACCTCCTAGAATGTGTAATGGATCTCTTGACGTGGTACATGTGGGCTCATCTTGATTCCCATCAAAAGCAGCCTATGTCTGTGCTTCTGTATAAAGATTCTTATTTCAACACTAACAAACTTAATGATCCTTTGCCTAATTTTGTTAAATCTGTTTTGCAAGACTTCAAGGACGTGTTTCTAGAGGACATTCCTAATGGTTTACCACCAATAAGAGGAATTGAGCATCATATTAACTTCATTCCAAGTGCAACAATTCCAAATCGACCAGCATATCGAAGCAACCCCAATGAGATGAAAGAACTTCAAAAGCAGGTTGAAGAACTCATGAGGAAGGGGCATGTGAAAGAAAGCATAAGTCCTTGTGTAGTTCAAGTGCTACTTGTGCCTAAGAAGGATGGGACTTGGCATATGTGCATTGATTGTTGCGCTATTAACAAAATCACTGCAAAGTATCGTCACCCTATTCCTAGATTAGATAACATGTTAAATGAACTGCATGGTTCTTGCATATTCACTAAAATTGATTTAAAAAGTGGGTATCATCATATTAGGATGAAGGAAGGCGATGAATGGAAAACAACCTTTAAAACAAAACATGGTTTATATGAGTGGTTAATTATGCCATTTGAATTAACTAATGTGCCTAGTACATTCATGCGATTAATGAATCATGTTTTACGTGCTCTCATTGGCAAAATTGTGGTTGTTTATTTTGATGACATTCTGATATATAATAAGAGTTTAACTAATCATAGTGAGTATCTATGAATGGTATTAGAGGTTTTGAGAAAAGAAAAATTGTTTGCTAACCTTAAAAAGTATTCCTTTTGCACAAATCAAATTGTCTTTTTAGGGTATGTTGTTTCAGCTAATGGAATTGCAATAGACGAAGAAAAGATTAAGGCTATTAAAGAATGGCCAACACCTAAGAATATTTCTGAGGTGCAGAGTTTTCATGGTTTGGCAAGTTTTTACCGGAGATTCATCAAGGACTCCAACATAATTGCAGCTCTATTTACTAAAATCATGAAAAAAAGTATCGAATTTAAGTGGGAAAATGAACAGGAACAAATCGTCTTCTCATCATAGCTTTCATCTCTTCTCGAGTGCCAACAAAACACTCTCAATTTCTACATCAACTAAGCACAAACTGATCCCACCACACCACAGCATAATCAGTAAATTCTGATAAACAAAAATCAAGTGGAGAATTGGCATACCGTCAAAAGAGTAAGAGACAATCAACAAGGCTACAGAGACCGCGGAGAGGAAACAAACAATTCACGATCAAAAGTATCTTGTCCATTTTTCTTTTCCATTTTATCTCCACAAACCTGAGTGCATTATTTCACCAAAAAAAACTTGAGTGCATTAGATACTCATCTCTCCAATCCCATTAAACGCAGTTTAGATGCGATTAAAATAAGAAAATGGTGGGGACTAGGGTGGGGCTGGGGCGAGCGTCCCTACATTACAAAATCCATCGGTGCGGTGCAGAGACCGATTTTTTTTTAAAATTTAAGTTAAAAATTAAAAAAATATATATGTATTTTTAATGAAAATTGAGCATACAATCTTAAACACAAAACTTATATTTAATTAAAAATTAATTAGTTCATAAGTAGAATAATAATTTAAACTATGGATATTTTTATTATTATATTTTCTATGTAAGATTTAATAACTAGTAGTTAAGATGTTGTTTGCACACAAAAGAAAATAAAAATCAACCCTAACTACTAGGTAGCTAGAGAAGTATTGTTGTTTCATAGCTTAATGATGAAGTGGAATCATATAGGAAGAGACAATCCACAAAGGCAAAGATTCCCGGGACCAAACAAACAAGTGGACGGCAAAAACCAATAGAATGAATGCCCTTGAACTTATAAACTTTAAAATCTAAACATATTCCTAAAGATTGTTGTTCCTCCCTTATGATTTCTGCCCTTAAACTAAGCGATTGGAGAATATATCCCAAAAATTAACGTCTGCCAAAAAAATTAAAACTTCTATAGAATTATAATTATGTCATTGTCTTTAACTTATAGTTGGGGCAGAAGACCTCCCTTAGTAGTTAAGTATTTATTTGGATAAAAATTTTTAAGAAAAGAAAAGAAAAGAAAAGGTAAGGGAGGGGAAGGGAAGGAGAAGTGAAGGGAAGGAAAGCATTACTATTAACTTTGTTTTGATAGATAAAAATAGAGGAGAGAAAATGATAATATTTTTATTTAATTAAATAAATTAAAAAATAAATTAAAAAATAAAATAAAATAAAATAAATTTAAAATTCACCAATTAAAAAATAATTGAAATAAAAAACTTTCATATATTTGTTTTTTTTTTTTAATTCAAAAAAATTAAATATATAAAGTAAATCCCTTGCAAACCCTCCAATTTAGAGTGATGGAAAGAAGAGGAGTAGAGGAGATTCCATCTCCTTCCATCGTACTCCAATGCTCTCCCTCTCCATTAAAACAAATAACCCAAATATAAGAAGAAAGTGTCTTTCTCTCATTATCTTTTCCTTTCCCTTCAGGTTCCCCAATTTAAACACACGGTAAGAGCTTAAAGTTCTTAGTATATTTTCTTGATCGATTAGTTTAAGGGCAAGGACCCTATTGTTATAAGATGAGGGGCAAAAATCCTTAGAGTTTATAAGTTCAAGGGTAATCTATGAGTTTTTGCCAACAATTCACAATCAAAAGTTCCTTGTCGTTTTGCTGGCCATTTTTCAGAGTGCAATAATACATTATCAGTGGAGATAATTATTGTACAGGAATACACAAGACTAAACTTGAATGAAATTTCCATTTGGATTTTGAATCCCACAAGCGAAGGGTGAATCCATGAAATTTTTGAATGTTGAAGGCAAAGCAAATTAAGACTAAAATTGTCCTGTTCTATTTATCTCACATCTAAAACTGATGCAATGGCATGTGCCAATCAGGGGAAATCCGAAATTGCATGCTAGTGAATTATAAAAGGAAACAGAGTTCCAGGTAGAAATTCAGATTATAAGGCTATTCCTCTGTCTGCTTTCGGTTTCCTCAAGCTGATTCTTTGTCAACTGGAAATGTCCCTTTAAATATTCTGTCTCGCACCTTATTTGCCTGCAATATAGATCCACAGGGTTTTACTATTGATATTTGATTAAGCAAAAACAATTTACTCTCCATGCTTCCACTGAGATGGTAGCAAGGAGAGTGAATCGACTTGTTTTAAGACAATCATTTTCTATCCAAAATATTCTCCTACTAATGGCTATAAACCTAAACCAAATTAAGAGTTATGGATGGAAATTAACTATAGGTGCACAGAGAGGGAGATTAGGACTTGAAATGAGAACCTGTTTTTGCCAATTTGTGAAGACAGTAACAACTGCCAGTGATGTTGATTGCACGGTTGAACCTGTCACTATACCAATCCAGAGGCCCTTCCCTCTAAAATGCTTCCCAAAACACAACAGGATACCTACTGGAATTCCAACAAGGTAATACGCACCAAGATTGACACCGGCTGCAATATGCTGCCACCCACTTCCTCTGGCAATACCTGATGCAAAAAAGAAACTGGTTTCAAGACTATTGCCAACCTCAGAAAGAATTTAGTCCAAAAATAAAAAGGAAGAGAAAAACTGGAGATGGTGCTCCTGATTCATAGGACGTGATTCAGAAAATTATTGCCCTTTAGAACTAAGAAGATACGCAAAGGCAGTAGGAGACTTACCAGAAAATGCTCCATGCAAACTGTCCACTATAATAGACAGGGAGATCAAGGGAGCCATTTCTGTAACATAATTCACAACTTCCTTGCCATTGCTAAATGCATATCCAAAGATATAGCGGCAGCAGAAGAGAATTATGCTTGCAGAGATAGCTTCTATGGCTGTAAGTACCACTGTAGCAATGGCGGCCACTTTAGCTGCTTGTGGATTTCCAGCTCCTAATTCATTTGAAACTCGTGTGCTATGCAAAAATTTCAAACATATTCATAAAAATCATGCATTGAAAACAGATAAATGTATATGTATTTATATACAAAGATCAGTTGTGGAACCTACCTTGCGGCGGCACTAATCCCATACGGTATGAGAAAATGTAATGATATGGTCATAAGGCTTCTCAGGGAAAAAAAAAAAAGTTAATGAAAATTAGTGGCATGCTCATTGAAATTAATCACAGAAAGAACTAAATTTCTAGGTTTTGCAACAGAATTCTGGTATGGAAGCTTACCATATGGAAAGAACTGATGTTTCAAGTTTTGAGTTTGGTAAAAGGCCAGATAGCAGTATTAGCAGTTCAAATGACCACCACTCAAGGCTGTTATCATATCAAATATATATTTGTGGTAAAAATTCAAAACACGGAGAAAACCACTTGTTGAAAAATATAAAGATTGTGGATTACCAGATCATAACAGCAGAAGGGAGAGCGAAGCTAAAGAACTCCTTAATGGATAAGAAAATGTCCTGCGAGATGAGGATGCGAGTTTTCTCACATGATGGAGAGTACTTCATAATAAATCCAAGCAACATCACATTAAACCAGTAAGAAATTCCAGTTGCAAGTGCTGCCCCAATATTTCCCAATTCCATTTTATATATAAGAGCCCAACAAAGAGATAAATGGAGAAATACAGTTGTACTAGAGCTTAATAGCAGGGGAACAATTAAGCCCTGAGACAAGAAATAGCGAACTAGAGGATGAAGAATTGCACTGGCAAATAGTGCAGGTATCAGCCAAACTGCATATCTGCATGCTACTGTAGAGATTTGAGGGTCTTGGCCTATCAATATCAATAGCTTGTCCATGAACATCCAAAGGATGGATATTGGGATACAAATTGGAAGAAGAGAGATTATTGAACAATACGTATAAGTTCCAACTTTCTGGTGTTGCTGTGCTCCATATGCTTGTCCACACAGAGTTTCCAATGCACCACTCATTCCAAACTGCTTGGTATACAAGACCGTTAGAAATCATGCTACACTTGTTTGAAACTTAAATTTTACTTAGTCCAAGTTTTAAAACATAACCCAGATATATAATGATCAATAGGAAACAAGTGAATTGACAACTGGTTCCTAAAACACACAAGTGATTTGATGCAATCAGACTGTTAGTTTTGTCTAATCTCAAAGAAGCCATCATTTCCAGCATCCAGTAAAATTTTCGAGAAGCTAATCCAAGAAGAAAAAGGATAAAAGAGAAAGATATTGCGACTTACAAGGAGACTGAAGCCAGTGACATTTGTGATGGAAGTGGCAATGGCAACCCCAGAAAGAGATAGTTCACCAAGATGTCCTACCATCATCATGGATACTACTTGCAAAACGTACAGTGAAAATGAAACCGCCACCATTGGTCCCGCCATATAGCTCAAGTTCTTCAATTCCTCGAGAAAGGTGCCCCATGTTAATCCCCATGTCTTCTCCTTTCTCTGTGGTAGTAGTGGCTGTTCCATTTTCCTCTGTTCCCTCC